CTGTTTCTGAAAAAGAAACCCAGTTTAACTTTCAGTTTTGTCACCAAGTTTTCCACATGGTGCTTAAAAGAGAGATGCGAGTCAACCAACATACCCAAATATTTATAGGAAAACTAAAAAACAAACTCAGTCCGGACACCATTTGAGGATGAAATCAGAGGAAGAACTGCTGGGACCAACTTCCTATTTGAAAAAAGCATCCCTTTGGTTTTGTCGGCATTTAGGACAAGTTTGAGGTGGAACAAATCTGTCCGGATGATGTTAAATGCAGATTTCAAAGGCTGGAAAGCCTTATCAAGTGTTTCAGCTCGACAATAAACAACTGTGTTATCAGCATAGAATTGTATGGATGCATCAGGGATGTTTTTACCTACATTATGTATGTAGATTGTAAAAAGGGTGGGTCCTAAGACTAAGCCTTGTGGTACACCATTGTTGACTGTTAAATAACTGGAGGAAGTACCATTATGTTGAACACATTGCCTCCGGTCTGAGAGATAGTAAGAGGACCAACCAATGGAGTGTTCTGAGAAACCGATTTCTGAGAGCTTATGACACAAGATGTTATGATCCACAGTGTCAAAATCTTTAGACAGGTCTAAGAAAACTGCAACACAATAATCCTTAGCATCCAGTGCTTCAACAATGTCATTAAGAACGTTCAGTGAAGCAGTCATTGTGATGTGTTGTTTCCTGAAACCAGATTGATGGAGAGGTAAGATGTTAAATGAGTCCAGGTAATTTTTGATTTGAGAGTTTATCCATTTTTCTAGAACCTTGGCCAAAATGCAGAGTTTAGAGATTGGTCGATAGTTGTTAAGTGAGGTAGGGTCACCTCCCTTCAGCAGAGGAAGAACAAAGGCTGTTTTCCAAGCATCTGGAATGGAGTTTTGGCTTATGGAGAGATCAAAGATGTGGGTCACAGGGACTGTGATGATATGAGAAGCCAGCCTTAAGAAATAAGGTGGAAGTTCATCTGGACCTGCAGATGTTTTAGGATGGTTGGCTTTCTTGGACTGTGAGGTCTCAGTCTCTGATAGAGGACATTTGCAAACCGAGGTGTACCGCTCACCCACCCACACAGACTAGTATTTGCAGTTTGACTCCCATCACCCTTTGGCTCACAAGTTAGGAGTCATCAGGACTCTGTATCACAGAGCAGACAGCATCCCCACTAACTCAGGAGCCAGGCAGAAGGAGAAATCCTACACAAAACAGGCTCTAGAGCAATGTGGATATCCTAACTGGGCCTTCCTGAAAGCAGAGAAGAAACCCAAACAGGACTCCAGTCAGCCATCAGGTGAAAAGGAGGAACCCAGACCCAGACCAGTGGTCATTCCGTATGCTGAGGGAGTATCAGAGAAACTGAGACGTTTATTTTCTAAACATAACATCCCAGTGGCTTTTAAACCCCAAAATACATTACGGCAAAGACTGGTTCATCCCAAAGATCCTGTCCCCCGGAACAAACAAAGTAATATTGTGTATGCTGTTCAGTGTCAGGAGGGCTGTGATCAGTCTTACATTGGGGAAACTAAACAGCCACTGGCCAAAAGGATGGCCCAGCACAGAAGATCAACATAATCAGGCCAGGATTCTGCGGTCTACACTCATCTCCAGGCCAGTGGTCACTCTTTCAGGGATGAAGATGTTCACATCCTGGACAGAGAGGAACAATGGTTTGAGAGAGGAGTAAAGGAGGCCATCTTTGTGAAAAGAAATCGTCCATCATTAAACAGGGGTGGAGGCCTCCGGGTTCAACTGTCCCCCTCTTACACTGCTGTTATTGCTAGTATCACTCAACCCCCTCTGAATAGTAAACAGCCATCAGTGTGCTAATGATCCATTGTTAGGCTGATGGTCCTTCTTGACCATGTGAGCAGCTGGTTTTGGTTGTCAGCAGCAAACTGGTTGATCCACTCTGAGAAGGTGCTATTTAAGAGACTGAGCTGAATAGAGCACCTCAGACTGAGGAAGTCTCTCGGATGAGAAACGAAACGTTTCTATATTTTTTTGCTTTTTTTTTTTGAATGTCCAGAGGACCAGATTGAACTTTGTTGGATTGTTGGATTAATTTTGACCTAACCAGTGAATACAGGGTGCAATGATGGATACGGTAGTTACAGCTAGTTATGAATCTTATGTTGTGAATCAGTTTTAGCTTCTCTCCATTGGCTCAATTCAATTCAATTCAATTCAAAAATACTTTATTAATCCCAGAGGGAAATTATTTGTTGTTGTAACTCGTTATCTTCATTTCATTAAGAGATGTTATAGATGCTGATGCTGTAGACAGGAAGGATCTCTTGTAAAGGTCCATCCCACAGTGGATCCTAAGAAACTGGCTGCAGATGCCGTCCGATCCGTCCACCCAGACTCGGCTGCCTCTCGGTTCCCCTCGGGCTGTAGGACCACCCAAATGCAGAGCAGAACTCCTCCCAGAGTGATGGCCACTCCTCCCAGCAGTCTGCCGAGCTCCTCGTAGCTGCGGACAGACAACTGTAGGTGCCGAGGGACGATCCTGTCCTTCCACTGTCATGAGCCATGTTTCCTGCTAGTTCCAGGATCTCAGTGATCAGGCACTCGAGTACAGCTGGCAGGTAGATGAGAATGCATCCACAAAACATCCTTTTCAACTCACTTGAGATTTGGGGCTGTAGTTGAGATATTACTTGAGCTTTTGAGATGTTAATCAGCTGTTGGTTGTAGAAAACTGCCTTGTTGCCATGGTTACGCATCATAACAAATGTCCAAAACTAAAAAAGTTTCAGTAAAAATCCTTCCAGCTGCACAGCATCTGATACCAGAGGAAACAATCATCCAAAAAAATGTGATTTACATCCAGAAAAAGAGGAATTAAAGTTTCCAAAAGCAAAATCTCAGAATGAAAGTAACAGAGCTGCTCCAACATGCAGCCACCTTGAGCGGCGCAATTCTAGGCTCCCTGTCAAATTCACAATTGAATTCAAAATCCTACTTCTAACCTACAAAGCTCTCAACAACCTAGCTCCATCTTATATTACAGATCTTATTGTTCCATATTTTCCTAACAAAGCACTTCGCTCTCAGACTGCAGGCTTATTTGTGGTTCCTAGAAATTCCAAAGCTCTAGGAACCACAAAAGTAGAATGGGAGGAAGATATTCCAGTTATCAGGCTCCTCTCTTGTGGAACCAACTTCCAGTTTCTGTCTGTGAGGCTGACACATTATCCAGCTTTAAGACTGGGCTTAAGACTTACTCTACTATACTCTTTACAAAGACAAATCAGAGCTTTAGATCATATTCATACACCCATGGGACACACATCAGAGTCAATGATGGGTTCAATGTCTTGTCCAGGGACACTTCAGCATGTGATTGCTTGTGAACCCACAACTTTTGAACTGGAGGATGACTGCTCTTACTACTCAGCCACAGTCGCCCCAAAAATGATTGAATAATAGACATTTTGTATTTTCTGAGACTAGTTGGGTGTGGTAATCTTCTTGCATTGGGTAGCCTCTAAAAGTTAATTAGTTGTAGCTGTATATTTAGTAAATATTTCCAGAAAGTTTTGTTAAAATCCATCCAGTAATTTATGAGATACTTAGCAGATAGACAGAACGGCACAGCCTTTTGGCAGGGTGATAATAAAAGCCAAACCAAGTTTTTATTAGCGACATTGTGCTCTTACCCAAACCGCTGAGTGTTCCGATGTGTGAAATCATGAAGTTGCTGATGCTGTGATTGGCCAGAGAGTCTGCCATGCTGCTAAGAGCCGACGCCCCTGCTGCGGTGCCAATCAGATATTCCAAAATCAGGTTCCAGCCGATGAAGAAAGCCACACACTCACCCACTGTCACATAGCTGTATGTGTAGGCTGAACCTGTGGTTTTAGGCACGCGCACCCCAAATTCTGCATAACACACACCTTTAGAGCAAAGAAGTAGACACAAACATCCAATTACTGTTAGTAAAAAAGTGAAGAGTAGGTTAGAGAAATGGATTGCAATTTAAGAAGATATCTCCTGAGTTAAATGAGTTAATGAGTTAAATTTAAAAAAATAGTCCCGCTCAAGTGACGTTCATGACCTAGCATTAATGATGCTTCTTCAGTTCAATTAAAAAATACATTATTAATCCCAAATTAACTGTTGTAACTCATTCTACTGATTTCATTAAAGAGCTGTAATACAGGTAGATGCTGATGGCTGTGGGCAGGAAGGATCCCCCTCAGAAGATCTGAAGAAACTGGCTGCAGATGCCGATCCGCCCACCCGGACCCAGCGAGTTTCTCGGACCCCCTGGGCAACAGGACCACCCAAACACCGGGTAGAATGGCCTGAGCGATGGCCACTCCTCCCAGCAGCTTGTTGAGCTCCTCGTCATTGCAGACAGCCAGCTGCAGGTGCCGGGGGATGAGCCTGGTCTTCTTGTTTTCATGACCAACATTTCCCACCACCAGTATCTTGGCAGTTAGGCATTCGAGCACAGCCATCAGGTAGACGGGAATGCATCCATGACACCTTCTTTTCAACCCATTTGGGACTTGGGGCTGTAGCTGAGGTAGTATTTGAGCTTTGAGATGCTAATCAGCTGCTCCCGGTTGTAGAAAACCAGGTTGTTGTCATGGTTATGCTTCATAATAAATGTCCAAAAGTAAAACTGTTTCAGTAAAAATTCTTTCAGCTGCACAGCATCCAATACCAGAGGAAATAATAATTAAAAAAAGAGTTTTACATCCAGAAAAAAAGAGAAATTAAAGTTTTGAAAAGCAACATCTCAGAATGAAAGTAACAGAGCTACTCCAACATGCAGCCTTGAGCAAAACAATTCTAAAATTCTTGAAAGGGATTTTCATAAAATATAATGGTTTAATGATGATAAACTGTTTGTATATTTTAAGCTTAAAAGGCAAACATATACTAAAGTATTGCTTTAAATCTGACTCACTGTGGGTGTGCAAATAATTAACTCACCTGACAGTATGGATGCTACAGCAGCTATAATGAAAGACACAATGACCCCAGGTCCTGCCATTTCCTTGGCAACCAGTCCTGAGACCACATACATCCCCGTCCCAACGCAGCTGCCCACACCCAGCGACACCAGGTCCACTGTAGATAAGACCCGCGCCAGCCTGGTCCCATGCAAGCTGGTGCCTGAAATGTCTGAATCCAACATAGACTCCACGGGTTTGGTCCTTAGGACTCGGGATGTGAAGGTGTTCCATGCTGAGCCCAACTGTATCCTGCGAAGGTCCAATTTACCTAGCAGACCGCTCATGCTGTGGGTATGTGGGAAAAGTAGAGAACTTCAAAAGGAAGATTGTAGGTTACAGTATTTTGTCTTGTTTCTGATGCTTCTATGAGAGTTCAGTTATCCTCAACTCTTGAAGCTGAATTATTCCATATCCATAAGTAGATTTTATCCTTGACTTGCTGTATCGCTTAGTTGAATGCCAAGTTAGTTTTCATTGGTATGATGAAAAAGAAAAGGATCTGAAAGACAAAAATATTAAAATTATTTTTACATTTCACATCTTATTCTTGAATACTTGTCTTACAACAGAGCATTGTTGTCAACACATGCCATCACAAAATATAAGCCAAGCATTCCTTAAAGAGATGCAGAACCTGACACCTGACCAGTGGTCGTTCCATATGTTGAGGGAGTATCAGAGAAACTGAGATGTTTATTTTCTAAACATAACGTCCCAGTGGCTTTTAAACCCCAAAATACATTACGGCAAAGACTGGTTCATCCCAAAGATCCAGTCCCCCGGCAAAAACAGAGTAATATTGTGTATGCTGTTCAGTGTCAGGAGGGCTGTGATCAGTCTTACATCGGGGAAACTAAACAGCCACTGGCCAAAAGGATGGCCCAGCACAGAAGATCAACATCATCAGACCAGGATTCTGCGGTCTACACTCATCTCCAGGCCAGCGGTCACTCTTTCAAGGATGAAGATGTTCACATCCTGGATAGAGAGGAACGATGGTTTGAGAGAGGAGTAAAGGAGGCCATCTTTGTGAAAAGAAACCGTCCATCATTAAACAGGGGTGGAGGCCTCCGGGTTCAACTGTCCCCCTCTTACAATGCTGTGATTGCTAGTATCACTCAGCCCTCTGTGAACAGTAAACAGCCATCAGTGTGCTAATGATCCATTGTTAGGCTGATGGTCCTTCTTGAGCATGTGATCAGCTGGTTTTGGTTGTCAGCAGCAAACTGGTTGATCCACTCTGAGAAGGTGCTATTTAAGAGACTGAGCTGAAAACAGCGCCTCAGACTGAGGAAGTCTCTTGGATGAGAGACGAAACGTTTATATATATATATATATATATTTTTTTTTTTTTTGAATGTCCAGAACACCAGATTGAACTTTTTTGGATTTTTCTACCTGGATTATTGAGCATGCATCAGGATATTTTATGTATCTAAGGTTTTTTGTTGGTGAGAGGCCTGGACTACAGCAGTTCAATTCAGTACCTAGATGTTTTTACTCTGAAGGCATGCTGTATGTGGTTTAAGATTGTCTAGTTGAAATATACAATGCTTTCACTGAAAATAAATATGGATGGGAGCATATGTTGTTCTAAAACCTGCTTTACTGCATTGACCGAGAACTAGATGCAATGACTTTTCAAATATGTAAGCTGCCTATGCAGTGATGTCCATAGCAGTATGTAACCTATGGTCATGAGCTCTGGGTAGTGACTGAAAGAATGAGACTGTGGATACAGACGGTTGAAATGAGTTTCCTCCGCAGGGTAGCTGGACTCTCCCTTAGAGATAGGGTGAGAAGTTCAGTTATCCAGAAGAGACTCAGAGTAGAACCATTGCTCCTCCACATGGAGAGGAGCCAGTTGAGGTGGTTCGGGCATTTGGTAAGGATGCTTCCTGGGCACCTCCCCAGGGAGGTACTTCAGGTATGTCCAACTGGGAGGAGACCCTGAGGAAGACCCAGGACATGCTCGAGAGACTATGTCTCTCGGTTGGCCTGGGAACACCTTGGAGTCCTTCCAGAAGAGCTGGAAGAGGTGGCTGTGGAAAGATATGTCTGGACCTCCCTGCTCAAGCTGCTGCCCCTGAGACCACACTTTAGAACAAGCAGAAGATAATGGATGGATGGATTGGTGGATGGATGGATGGATGGATGGATAATTGCAAATCAATACCAAAACTGGTACATCATTAAGAAGACAGCACAATGATTTTAGGGACACATAGCTGTGTATTAATAAAGCTATAAAACTTAAATGAAATGAAAGCTACAAGCTAAACCAGAATCATTTATGACTGCACAGGGAATCTTTTCAACATCGCTCGTTTAACACAAAGTTTGTTTTCTCAGTCATCCAGGTATATAACAACAAAAAAGGTTGAATCATGTCATCTGGACTTCGGTTTTTTTTGTTAAAAAGAAACGTTTCGCCCCTCATCCAAGAGGCTTCGTCAGTCTGAGGCCTAGCCATCTGGTATTACCCAGAAGCCACCCTGACTCTTGTGTTTCAAGCCTGCCTCAGATACCCCTGAAGTCTGGCCTTTTCACTAATGGTTTCAAAAACACAAAGTTTGTTTTCTCAGTCATCCAGGTATATAACAACAAAAAAGGTTGAATCATGTCATCTGGACTTCGTTTTTTTTGTTACGTTTGTTCGCCCCTCTTGGACGAGGGGCGAAACGTTTCTTTTTAACAAAAAAAACGAAGTCCAGATGACATGATTCAACCTTTTTTGTCATATTAAAAAGAAGATACAAACACAAAAAACAGAGACAAATGTCAAGCTTTGCATTGGCAAGTAAATAAAAACAAAAATTAAATACACTGTTTTTTGTGTATAAACATTCTTGTTTACAGTGAGGGGTACACATTTATACTATTCATTGATTAAGTTTTTCTTTTGTTAATAATAATTTGTTCATTATTATTAATGGCCACAGTCAAAAAACAGAAGCTTAGAGGTAAATGATCATTTTATAAGTCAACAGAAATGACCAGCTAACATGAAGTCCACTTTAGATTTATTCATTTGTGTGTTGGACCATTTAACAAGATAAATATAAATTAATTGTTTCTTTTTATCTCACACTCCCATGAAAGGTGGGCAGTCCTATAACTGTGTAAAGATGTGCTTGTTAGCAAAATATCCTCGTGAACAAACGGACACATTTTAATGAAACTCTCTGGATGTAATCAATGCATTTCCAAACTGATGAACTTTTAAAACATTTAAAGGCAGGAATAAAAATGTAAAGTAGCGTTTCTTCAGGAAGCACTACTTTTTATTAATTTATTTTTCATAACAAACTCTTCAGGCCATGAAAGTGTCACATGTGCAGCTTACACAGATGTTTCAGTAAAACATCTTGATTAAAGTAGTCACACAACCTGACTCTGCTTGGTTTTCATCAAATAACGGCGGTCATTGAACGTGTCACAGAAAAAGACCAATGTTAATACGTCTGCAAACTCTTTGACCTGCAATTAAATAAAAATAAAATGACAAAGATGGTTCAAATCGCATGATCCTCCTTTCTTAAAGACATAAAAGCCGGACTGGTTTGATTTTATATTGAGACCAAACTGGCTTGACAGTTTTTGGAGTTGAACACCTAACAACGCACTATGCAACTTTTGTTTTTCTTCCACTTCTGTTGTAACGACACTTGAAACAATTTCTGACCAAAATATGTCTTTTAAATCTCAAAGTAAGCAAGATTTTGTTTTCTTTCACCAATGGAAGACAGTCCACCCAAACATCTGGTCTCAGTGATGCAACACACTGACGTGTTTCTTCTAATGAGACTTTTTATTCATATTTTTAATAATCATGTCCCCAAAATATCCTGATGCATGCTCAATAATCCAGGTAGAAAAATCTAAAAAAGTTAAATCTGGTCCTCTGGACATTCAAAAAAGCAAAACAAAGCAAAACAACAAAAAATGTAGAAACGTTTCGTCTCTCATCCAAGAGACTTCCTCAGTCTGAGGAGCTGTATTCAGCTCAGTCTCTTAAATAAGAGTTTGGTGTCTCTGTCCAGGATAATAAAATATCCTGGACAGAGAGGAACGATGTTTGAGAGAGGAGTAAAGGAGGCCATCTTTGTGAAAAGAAATCGTCCATCGTTAAACAGGGGTGGAGGCCTCCGGGTTCAACTGTCCCCCTCTTACAATGCTGTGATTGCTAGTATCACTCAGCCCCCTGTGAACAGTAAACAGCCATCAGTGTGCTAATGATCCATTGTTAGGCTGATGGTCCTTCTTGAGCATGTGATCAGCTGGTTCTGGTTGTCAGCAGCAAAACTGGTTGATCCACTCTGAGAAGGTGCTATTTAAGAGACTGAGCTGAATACAGCACCTCAGACTGAGGAAGTCCTCAGGATGAGAGACAAAACGTTTCTACATTTTTTTTTGTTTTGTTTGTTTTGTTTTTTGAATGTCCAGAGGACCAGATTTAACTTTTTTAGACATGTCCCCAAAATGCACCCATTTTACATTATTTTAATTTGGGAGGATTTTTACTGAAACTTTATTAGTTTAAAATATTTGTTATGATGCATAACCATGACAACAAGGTAACTTTAATAACCGGGAGCAGCTGATTAACATCTCAAAGCTCAAATCAAATACAGCCACATATCCCAAATGAGTTATAAAGGAGGTGCAGTGGATGCATCTCCGTCTACCTGGCAGAGGTGATCGAGTGACTGACTGCCGAGATCCTGGAGCTGGCAGGAAACATGGCTCATGACAAGAAGACCACGATCAGCGCAGACACCTGCAGCTGGCTGTCTGCAATGATGATGAGCTCAACAAGCTGCTGAGAGGAGTGGCCATCACTCAGGGAGGAGTTCTGCCCAACATTCAGGTGGTCCTGCTGCCCAGGAGGACCGACAGGCCTGCTGGGTCCAGGTGGACCGATGGGCATCTGTGGCCTGATTCTTCAGATCTGCTGCGGGACGGACTGCTGCTGCAGATCCTTCCTGCCCATCAGCATATATGACAACTCTTAATGAAACCTGGATGAGGAGTTACAACATTTAATTTGCCTTTGGGATTAATAAAGTATTTGAATTGAATTTATTTTTTGTAAAGAGATAAACTCGTTCCTTTTGTGTGTGTGAGCATATGTGTGGCACTCTGCAAGGCTGTGACAAAAATTGATTTTTTAAAATTATTGCCACTAAAAATGATGTTTTATATTTAGATATGTCAGATTAGATTATTTAGGTCCTTCACTTCCCTGGTCAACAAATCTAAGCCCATCTGCATTTGGAAAGGTAATAAAA